TCAGCATATAGTTTGAATAAATATGGTCAAAGGATACAACCCTGGTGCATACCTTTCCTGATTTTAAACCATTTAGTATCCCCTTGTTCTGTTTGAACAACTGCCACTTGGTCTATGTACAGGATGCTCAAGAGCACAATGAAGTGTTCTGGAATATCCATTCTTTGCAAAGTTATCCATAGTTTACACCCTTGGAAACCCTACACAGGGTTGCAATGAGTTGTAATTGACTTGATGGCAGCAGGTATTCTTGATGGAAGCAGACTGGCACATCTTTCTCCCAAGGAATGGCTGGTGGGTTTAATCCACTAACCTTTTGATTACCAGCCAAATGCTTAACCACTGTGCCTCTAAAACGCCTCATAAGATTTAAGAGAATGAACACTAATTAAGATCTTAACTTATTTTTTTTTTTTTAAACCTCTCTTGGCCTATTTGTCTCTATAAACGATGGCACAGAACCAGATACACTGTAAGGCCATTTCCAGCTCTTAATTTCATTTAGTTACCCACTTAAAAATATTTAATATTTACAACTATAAAATTAAATATGGTTATTCCCCTTTTGGAAGAAATTCTTTTTTTCTTTTTATTTTTTTAAAGTATTTTAAAACTGATGCGGTACTAGTCTAAAATCCAAATTTATGGATGTAATGGATTCCTGGTTTAGTGCTGTAGGAGAAGCACTTGACTGCTAACCATGAGGTTTGTGGTTCAAACCCACCAACTGGTCTTCTGAAACTCTATATACAGGGTCAGTGATTCAATGGCACTCAAATTTAAAGCAAAATCAGAGGCAAAGCAGGAGCCAGAACCAGAATCTCTATTTGGTTCTTTCTTCAAAACCAGTCATCTCTAAAATGCAGAACAAAATTCAAACTCATAAAAAAAAAGACCAGGTTTACTGGAGTCAAAGAGACTAATTGAATCCTAAAGACTATGCCCATATAACCTTTCTAAGTTAAAACTGAAACCACATAAAAGACAGGCCTATAAAGTGAACAAAAACATTCAGGAGGAACATGCTCCTCAAAACAGTCAAGGGCAGCATTTGCCCAAAACCAAAGTTCACGTGAATGCAGGAAGGGGCAGGCAAACTAAATGAGGGACACAGGAAGCCCATGGTAGAAGTGGCAGAACACTGACACAATGTGGGGGTGAGACTCAGTGCCACTGGGCAGTGTATATGTGGACTGCTGACTGGAAACCACTTCATTTTGTGAACTTTCACTGAAATCACAAAAAAATATGAATAAAAGAACCTACAACAAATGAACTGTCTCCTATAGCCAGACAAAACATTTTTTAAATGACCTAAATCTACTTACTCCCACATGATTAGCAAGCAAAACATGGAAAACCATAGACATATAATTTTTATAGTCTTTACTTATTAAAATACTCTTAGTCTAATCTTTTTCAATTAAAAAGTACATATGTACTTACAGTTGAAATATTAGGAAGGATTTTTACAAATCCTTAAATGTTACAACAAATGGATCTGTGCATTAAAAAATATATATATTTTGTTTTTGGTGCAAGTTTACATAGCAAATTAGGTCTCCATTTAACAATTTTTGTATGACTTCTTCTGTGACACTGGTTAGTTTCACAATGTGTCAGCCAACGTTCTCATATCCATTCTTTGGGTCTGTTCCCATGAATCTAACTTCATGTCTCCTTAGCGTCTCATCTTTATTTTAGGGTAAATACTGACCATTAGGTCTTGTATAGTTGATTAAGGGGACATCATATTCATGAGTGATACTGTTTAAACATTCTATGAGCTAATCTGGTATTTTGGATTGGCTTCAGTCCAAAGTCATAGCATATTGTATGGCTATATTTTTCAGGACTCCTCTAGTCTCTACAGGCCCAGTAAGTCTGGCCTTTTTCTTAAAAGAATTTGTTTTGTTCTACATTTTCTTCCCATTCTAATAAGGCCCTTCTATTTGTGTCCCTGGTCAGGACGGTCACTGGTAGTAGCCATGCACCATCTAGTTCATCTGGTCTCAGCTAGAAGAGGCTACAGTACTTTGTGAGACCACTAGTCCTAAGGAGTAATTGCTTTTGGTTTCTTTCACTTTGCACTTTGGTTTCCTTCCTTGCTCCACATGGAAAGAGATCAATAGTGGTATCTTAGATGGCTGTTATCGAAGCTTTTAAGGAGGATGTAGAACACTATCTTATGAACTATGTTACGCCTGCTTATTGAGTTATCTCAGGAGACTATGGCCCCAAGTCTTCATATTCAGTAAACCATTCCCATGTGGTGCTAGGTTGTCTTGGTAACATCCATAACTGTTTCCCCCATGAGGGGCCTCAATCAAAAAGTTTGTGGAAAATTCTCTTATGTTTTCATGAACATTTTGGAGTTCCCTCATATATAAACATATGTGCAGTGCACATAAACACCTGCCTGCAGATACATCTTTATATGCATACCCATACTTGCATGTGCCTTTCATTGCACATATATGCATACGTCTACCTATACAGCCACATACATATTTTATTGCCTGTTATTAATGCTGCCACAAAATTGCAGGTTATAGTAGTTACTGAAATCCTTCCTTATTTTTGAGTACTTCTTTGTTGTTGTTAAGTGCCGTTGAGTCGGTTCTGACCTATAGCGACCCTGCACAGGGTTTCCGAAGCTGTAAATCTTTATGGGAGCAGAAAGCCTCATCTTTCTCCTGTGGAACAGCTGGTAGTTTCGAACTGCTGACCTTGCGGTTCATAGCCCAATTTGTAACCACTACGCTACCAGAGCACTTTCTTTCTTGTTGTTGTTGAGTGCCATCGAGTCGGTTCCAACTCATAGCGACCCTGTACAAGGTTTCTTAGGCTGTAAATCTTTACGGGAGCAGAAAACCTCATCTTTCTCCCGTGGAGCAGCTGGTAGTTTCGAACTGCTGACCTTGCGGTTCTCAGCCCGATTCGTAACCACAATGCTACCAAAGCTCCTTGAGTACTTTTTAGGGACTTGCAAATATTTTGCAGCAATTCCACATATTCTTTATGTATCTTTAAAAAACTGACTATAATCACACTGTGCAAACATGCATTTAAATTTTTACACATTGATTTCACTTAATACTATGTGAAAAACTTTAAATATTATCATCTTAAAAAAATACTTTAACAAATGCATACTTTTTAAGAAGAAACACTAGCTGATGATGAAAATTCACCATGATTCTAATTTTTTTATTATTATAAATAATGCTAAAATAAGCATCTTTGTGTTTTATTTAATTTACATATTTGCTATTTGGGAGGGAGAGAAAGAAATGACATGTTAAGTTTTTCATTTCTTATCAGCATCAAGGTTAAACATTTTCACATATACTACTTGTTTACTAAGAATATTGTATCTCGACGCTGGTAGACTATTCCACTTCTCTACTGGGTTTGATTATTCCTTGCAGTGGCCACACAGAACTCACAGATATTACAATTATGAGGTTTATTAGGGAAGTGACAGAAACAACTCAGGATGTTGTTCCTCCATCAGGACAGTCTCTTTGTGTCCTCTGTCGCTGTGTTTGCTGGCCCTGTTGGGGGTCTTCTCAGGAAGTGTTAAGCTCCATGAGTCGACAAGCCCTACTGCACCTACCTCGTGCAATCACGTTGTCCATATGCTATAGCTCTCTGTCTCCTGGATCTAGCAGGTTCTCAGTACATGTGTCCTGGTATCAAAGGATTTGCTCCACTCCTCGCTTCTTTCTTGGTGGTAGTGAAGTGCCCCTCTTTCCATCATGAGGACGGCTTATTTTAAGCGTAGTGGGATGGCAAAACTGACCAATTCCCTTGCTAGGGTTCCAAACACCTAATATGTGCATGAATCCTTCCCCATAAAGGTACCGTTCACCTTATCTGCATTATTATAAATCTGTTCAATCCCCTTGGTGGTATACAAGCACTTATTTGCACAGTCTCAACCAATCCTTTGTAGTTCTGTTGTGGTGCTGTAGGATAATCACTGGATTACCAACCACAAAACTGGCGGTTCAAACCAACCAGCTGCTCCTCAGAAATCCTATACAAGGTACCGACTTGACAGCACTTAACAACAACTACTCCTGCAAAACCATGAGTAACCTCTGTACTGTAGTACTGACCACTCTATATATCAAATCCTGACAATTTAGATGAAGAAGTATGTAGTGTTCTAGTTGAAAAGGCCTTTTATGCTGATCAAAGTTCAAAACAATAATTTCAAGTATGGTAATGACAGTGAGACTGTATGTTGCTGTTACGTGCCATCGAGTTGACAATGACTCACACTGACCACAACAGAATGAAACACTGCCTGGTCCTGGACCAACCTCACAATCATTGCTACAACCTGAGCCCATGGTTGCTGCCACTGTGCAAATCCATCTCGTTGGGGGTCTTTTTCTCCGACCCTACACTTAACTGAACATGAAGACTATATAATAACCAAAAAAAAGATGTAAAGAAAGAATATGTAATTGCATATTTTGTGGTGCTATAGGAAAAGCGGTCAACTGATAATCAAAACGCTGGAGGTTAAAACCCACCAGTTGCTCCTCAGAAACCCTATACAGGGTCACTGTGAGTTGGAACCAACTCGATGGCACTTAGCAACAACAATTTTTAAAAATATATATCACACGTTAACTAGAGAGTTTTGAAAATAATAGTAAAAATAATAGTATTACCAATATTACCACCACCCAGACCTAGTTGATTGTTAACACATTTACTAATATATACGTTTTACACATTTACTAATATATACTAATATATAACCACAAACTATATATATTTTTTGAAAGAGCTGACTTGATAGCACTTAACTAAAAATATACATTCTATAAATTTTATATGAAACAGTGATGATTAAGAAATGTACATATTTATTTTATGTATTCTACAGAGTAGAAAATATACTGTACTTAAAATTATTTCATCTTAAACACTGTCCTAATGTTGCTACTACTTTTATCTTTGGGGGATGGTCTTTTTACTACCTTCTGAGTACTTCTTTCATCCTCGTCCTCAGATGGGTCTGACTGATGTTTTGGACTGTCCATTTGAAGGAATACTCTGACATCTGGACTAGATACAAAAATTCACTTTGTTAGGACTTCAATGGTATTTCTACAATGTTTCCCCTTTTATATAAAAAAATCTGTATTAGCATTTACAAAAAGAAAGTCAAATAAGATTCATTCATATCCATTATTATAAAAGAAGCAAGCACATTCATTAAAAAAGAATCAGGGAGTCCAACAAAAAAATGGGCAAAGGATATGAACACAGAAAGGAAACCCAAGTGGTAAGCAAATTTACAAAGATGCTTAACTTAACTAGTAATCAGAGATTTACACGTTGAAACAATACTGAGATACCATTTTACACCCATTAACTGGCAAAATTATAGAGGTATGATATCAAAAGTTTGTAAATAAAAGGAAAGCAATACCAATGCATAGTGCTGCAAAAAATGTAGAAGAGGCAACTCTTTTAGAATGCAATCTGGCAATACTTGGCAGCATTGTGAGCAGATCTGCCATGGACCCAGAAATTGCATTTCGAGGGATTAAACCCTTGAAAACTTATGCACAATTTCAGAGAAGGACATAATAAGGATGGTCGTCACAGCATTTGCTATAGTAGTGAGCTGGAACCAAAGCAGTCATCTATCACTGGGGGGAAGGGGAGATCAATAAATAAATGATACCACTGTCTATCAGAAAATACCAGTAAGTAGCCCTCAAACAATGAATTGCAAGTACATATAGTAGCATACACAGAGCTTAAGAAGTTTTGTAGAATGAGATCTATATCACAGTACTATCTACGAATAGACTCGATGGTACTCAGCAACAACAGTTACGTAACACATGCTAAAGTTTTCAAAATTTATTCTAAAATATCCAAAGTTAAACACATACTCAAGGACATATATTAAACACATGAAGTAGGTATCATCAGTGACGATGAAGAAGCAAAGAGAAAAATATCGACTAAAACAAAAAAGGGGTCTTGCATGCACTAAAGATAATCTCTAGGAATGATTGAATCTCTATGCTGAGGTACTTCCCCATCCAAATTGTTCTTAATAATTAAATACAAATAATGTACATTAATTATAGGAAATTGGGAAGTAAAATGGTGCTGAGGTTATGGAAAACAGTTTGTCAGTTCCTCAAAAAAATCGATTCTATTCAGAAAGTTGTTTACTGATAAAATTTAGTACCTTTATTAAAAAAAGAATAATGTTACATGCCACTATGTCAGTTTCAAGTCTTGGTGACCCTACGTTAGGTTTTCAAGGAGCAGCTGGTGGGTTTGAACTGCTGACCTTGTGGTTAGCAGTGCTTTTCTTGCAGTGCCACTCCAGTGAGATGTAAATTAAAGCTACAATAAGACATCACACAGCTCACTCACCAAAATGGCTAAAACGAAAAGACTGATAATAAAAAGTGTATGTGATACTGTAAAGCAAGATGAACTCGTATACACTGATGATCATAGTACAATCAGTTTGGAAAAGTATTTTGTATTCTCCCCTAAGGTTAAATATATACCCTGTGACACAAAATAAATCCGAAATGCTTGTATATGCACATCTAAAGATATGTTCACAGCCAATGTATTTATATTAGCCAGAAACTGCAAACAACTCAAATGTTCACGAGCAGAAAAAATGGATCCACTGTGGTATATGTGTACAATGAAAACATTATGTAGTAGTAAAAATGAACAAACTACAACTATGTGTAACAGTATGGATGAACATCAGAATGTTGAACTAAATAAGCCTGAAAAAGAATATATACAATAGAATTTCACTTACATAAATTTTTTTAATAGGGCAAACTGATCTTTGCTGTTCAAAGTCAGAATTGTAGTTACTTCTGAAGTAGGAAAAGTAGGAAAGGAATAGAGATGGCGATAAGGCATGGGAGGGGCTTCAGGGGTGCTTGTTGTTGTTGTTGTTGTTGTTATTACGTGCCATCCAGTTGATATAGGCTCATAGCAACCCTGTATAGGGTTTCCAAGGAATGGCTGGTGAGTTTGTACTGCCGACCTTGTGGTTCAAACCAATGTAATGTTCTATTTGTTGACCTGGGTGTGGCAATTAAGGTTATGTTTTACTTCTGCCTAATTCATTGAGCTATACTGGTGTGGCTCTGTAGGATAGGCACTGCAGTGCTGGTATGGCACTACAGGATAACACACTACAAGCTCGATGGTTCAAACCCACTAGCCACTCCTCAGAAACCCTAAACAGGGTCATCCTATGAGTTGAAACCAACTTGATGGTACTCAACGACATGACAGTTATGATTTATGTATTTTCAAAATGTGCTCGACTGTAAAAACATCAAAATAAGCAACTGTTTTTGCCTTCTATTTTAATTTCTTAGTTAAGGCAATGTACCATTTCTCTTGTAATCAATTAGCCATTTGTAGTTCTTCTTTCATAACAGGTTTGTATCCTTTATCTATTTTTCTTTTAAATACATCATTTTTGACACAATCTCCTTGCTTTTCAATACACTTTATCTGTCAACAAGCTTTTGTAGTCCCTTATTTAAAAATGTTTTAGTCTGAGCTGAAAGCTGCTAAAGCACTGCTGTCTTCACTTCTTCATCAAAGCTCAATCTTCATCCTCAAAGGGCTGCTTTCAGGGGACCAAACAAGCGAAAGTCAGATGGAGCAGGATCAAGACTATAGGGAGCATGTTTTAACACCTCAAAACAAAGTTTTTGGTGCATTATGGAGCTGCAAATCGCAGAACTGAAGCAGAAAATTGAGGATACATTGTGCCCTTTGGGCTTCGTGGTCTATCCCTTCCGGGTGGCATGGTACAATGCACTCCTGCCTCCAGCCTTCCACCTGGCCCTACCAGGACCTACCCTGGCTTTCCTGGTGCTCAGCACACCTGCTAAGTTTGACGGAGCCCTAAAGCCCTTCCTGCAAAGCTGCCATCTCCAACCACTGACTGACCCTGTGGACCAGTGTGTAGCCCACCATTTGAGCCAAGTTAGAGAGAACCTCCCAGAGCTGCAGATACAAGTCATCAATGACTGTGACGTACAACCCAATGGATGCCCCAAGATTCTGGCCCAGACGGCAGCACATGTTGTAAGGGCTGCTAACTACTACCAATGATAGAATGTACAGCCTGATCCCTGGGGGACCCAACACATTCCAGGTGTGTGTATACACCCCCAATTTGGGGGCTGGCTTGCCATCCGAGGGGTGGTGTTGCTGCCAGGGATAGAGGTACCAGACCTGTTACTCACAAAGCCACCAGACTGTGTTCCTACAAAAGCTGAATGCATCACTCTGCTTGAAGGATTCAATTTCCACTGGTGTGACTAGGCTTACAGAGATGTGTGACACCCCAAGAACGCTACTCAGAAGAGCAGGTCGATTTTCCACTCGACTAGAGCAGCGCTGGGATCTTTTGGGTAAGCTTAGCCCAGTATCCTCTGTCTCCCCTTACCACACTTTCCTCCCTAGACCCAGAATCCCAGCAGGGTACGGGGCTGGCTCAGTCCCAGTGTCTCACCCACTGCACCCCCTGTGCCTTGATAACTACCCTCCTCTGCAGCAGCCCTATTTAAAACCTTGGTACTTGCTAGGACTTGGCTTTGGCAAGGTTTACTATGGGTACAAGATGAATGTTTTTGGAAATATAGCTAGTAAGTCTCAGGGAAGTTCAGTAGCTTGGTCAAAGACCAACGTGGATCCAAAATTCCCTCCCATCTTGATATATGGGACTATTTATTGCCTCTGCTATCATTTCTCTGCAGTGCCGAGATACTTGTAGTGTCTGAGAAGCAAATATCCCTTAAATAATACCCACCACATAGGGCTATGTGAGCACTAAATCAATACATGTAAAGTACTTCTTAAATAAGACAAAATAAAAAACAAAGTTTTTGCAGTGTGGGCAGAGGTTGTCATGCAAGACACAACATCCTTGGACTGCAGTCCTCTGTTTAATCTGAAGTTTAGTCTTCAAATCTTCAGTGAGTATCTCATTGTAAAGAGCACTGTTGATTGTTGAGACTTTCTCCTGATAGTGTTTCAATACTGGCCCTTTTGAACTTTTCCTTGGTCAGCTCTTAAGGATGTTTCTATTCCACATTCTGCCAATTACTCTTAGGTTCATAGTGATGAATCCATCTCTTGTCACCAGTAATGTTTTGTTTTTTAAAGAAATTTTTACTTTCCTTTGAGTATAGATCCAAATTTTGTTTGCAGATGTTCAAACGTTTCTTTTTATGCTCTTCTGTAAGTTGTTTTGGTACCAATTTCACACAAAATTTTTGAAACCCAAGTCTGTTGCGGATTATCTCATAGAGCTGTGGCTGATTTGTTAATGATTTGCCACATAATCCACTGTCACTTGTGTATTTGACAAAATCACTTCACATGCATGCTCAAAGTTGTCATCTGTCATAGATGTGGGCATTTTAATATAACTGGAGAGCAGATAATTTTTAACTCACCTTCATATATTATTCCTTTTTTAAACAAATATATTTGTTTTTATTGTTGCAATGAAACCATCTGTTTTCTCCAAGACACTGGGGTATTGTTGTATTTGTATTTAATTGGTAATTGTATGATGGCATATTCTTAGACATTTACCTCCTGGAGGATGTGATAGAGACTGGAGGTATGAACAGAGTTCTCTGTTCACTGCGTGGAGCAGGTCAAGGTGAGTTCACATGCCTTCAGATGAGGGGTTGGGATGTCTGTTGCTCGACCCTAGGCAGAGCAGAGGCTACATCTGAGGGGGTGCCAGTGGTCACTGGGCTGATGAGGGTAGAGAATGGTCAAGCCTCTGTCTAGCAGGATGCATGAGAAGCAAGGGAGAACCACAACCCCCCTTGCCACCAACCTTCAGCTGCATCCTGTGTATCAACAACCGCCCACAAAAGCTCAAGATGGCCAGTGCCGCTCCAGGACTGACTGCCTGGTTTTCTTCTCTCTCACTGCTTCTTTTCAGCCTCCTCTTCCATCTAGCACTCAATCCACAACTCAGAGTTTCAGGGTCACCATCTGTATCTATTTCACTTGACCTCCCATGCTCCTGTTGCACAGGGTCTGCTCATCACGTCTGCTTACTCTGCCATCTTGCTGGCAAAAGGATACATTTTGTGCCATGGGAAAAAAAATTTCGACGTCAGGGGTAATATCAGACTTTTAACAAAACTCAATCGGATCCTAGGACCATCAAGGGAGAAGAGCACAAGCAGAATGCGAGACCTTATCCAGAGAAGCAGCAGCACCAGAGATGGAGGTACAGATGAGGACATGAAGAGAGGGAACAGCTGAGGAATCTAGATTTATAAGAAGAGAGGGACTAAGAGCTGATGGGCAGGAGGCAGACTTGCAGAATGTATCCTTTGGTAGTATAAATTATTATATATGCCTGAGTGTTTAAAAAAAAAAAAAAGAGCTAAAGTGAATAGAGAGAAATACTGTTAACTGATGGTACATGGAGGGGATTATAATCATTGTAATAGAACAAGGTGTATGATTTATTGAATGTAAAACTGATGATCTGCCCTGTAAACTTTCACTCAATCCACAATAAAAATCTTTAAAAAATAACTCAATGGGAACATCTTACCAAATCATTCATATTCTGCACCAAGTTTATGGGAATGCTGCCCCACACACAACAATTCTTACATGGACCAAGTGTTTTAAGGAAGGTCTAGAAGACCTCAAAGAAGAGCCAAATGGGAAGACCATCAATCTCGATGAATGAAGAAACTATGGTTGAAGTCCAGAATCTGGTGGAAGAAGACATTAAGATACCACCAATATAATTACTACTAAAGGTGTGATCTCACATAGCTCAATTATTTTCAGTTTTAAGTGAACATCTTGATGGATGCCAAAAGGACTGCCCAAAAATGAGCTAGCTCAAAAAGTTGGCTTTTCTATCAGTCTTTTAATTAAGATCCAAGCTAATGAAGACAACTTTATGAAATAAATTATAACTGGGGATGAGTCATGGGTCTACCAATAAGATTCAGAGAGCAAGGTCCAGTCAAACAGTGGTTTATGAGTGCTTTACTGGAGCAGTGAAATTCAAGGCACAGAGGTCAGTTCAGAAGGTTATGTGAACTGTTTCTGGGGACTTCAAAGAAGGTAATCTTGGTAGATTTTCTCAAAGGGCACAGGACAATCATCATAGGAGCATATTAAGACATTTTAAGAAAACTGAAAACTGCATGGGCGATGAAGAGGCCAGGAAAGTTATGCCAAGGAATTGTTTTCCATCACGAAAACGCACCTGCTCAGTCTTTATGGTAGCCAAGGGCTGTCCTACGTGAATTTCTTTGGGAAACTTTGCCCTATCTACCCTACAGGCCTGATCTTGACCTTTCAGACTTTTTGTTCCTAAAACTCAAAGAGCATTGAAATAAAACATAATTTGAGTCTCTTGTGGATGCCACAACTGCCGGTTTGACTTGGTGTAAATCGAAGAGTACAGAATTCTTTGGGGAAGGGCCAGAGAGATAGAAACAGTGCCCTCAGAAGAGTACAACTTCAGATGGAGAGCATATTAAAAATACAATAGCTTCAAATTTGATATGTTTGCTTAATAAGGGTTTTTTGATTTTGTAGCAATACTTAGTTTTTGACTTACCCTCATATTAGTATCTTACTTAATATTAAAAAGTTTAAATGCCTCTTTAGAAACACAATGGAAAACTACTTACTGGTTGTAAAGCTCTGGATGTCTAACCAAGTTCTGAATGAATTCATTCAGTCCTGCTCTTCTTTGTTTAATAAAATCTGTTAAGAAAGACATAAACTATTAGGATTATTTATGGTAGACTATATTACTATCATCAATATAAGAACATAAGCACAAGATACAAAAATTCTGATTAAGAAATTATTTCTTAATTCATGTTTCTTGGTTTACAAAATACACACACACACACACACACA